AATATCCTCTACAGAGCAAAATCCAATTGTTAATTCATATTTACTTTTTTTCTCTAATAATACTTCCCCTTGTGATCTTAGCTCATCTCATAGTTTTAGACATAGTAAAGAGAGCATTGAAAAGTTTCAGTTTATTTTGGTTATGAATTCCCCTGTACTACAAACTATTGGGTCCAACTGCCTACTTGTCATCTCCACTTGGATATTTGACATTATATCCAAATCAAACTCCTATTATTTCCACACAATTTTGCTTTTTCCCTATTCCTTTCAAACTTGGTTACTAGCAACTGTATTCTTCCAGTTCTCAAAGTGAAAATTTTTGCTAATTCCTAGCTCCATTTTAAAATTTTACATATCACATCCATCCTGTTGGCCTTATCATTTAATTTTATCTGTAATCCAAACATACCTTACCACATTATCTTTGACTGGTCTGGTCCAACAGTCTACTAGCTTTTACCTTTGCCTGAAGTGCTCATTGAGCCTCTATTCATCTCATTAATTGTTACTTATCATTATGATCTATATTTAAGCATAATTTCCTCAGGAAGCCTTAACTATTATCTCTGATTTTACAAAATACTACTAAAATGTGTCTCAAGTCTGTGTCTTTCATTGGTAGCCCTTGTTGCAATTGCAACTGTCAATTTTTACAGGATCAATATGTGTCTATCTGCCTCCTTTGTAGGGTCTACTATTTAAGCAAAAATTGTGACTGTTTCATTTGTTTAAATAGCTCTAAAAGCAATTCCAAATATGTAGAGTAACTAAATAAATATTTTTGAAATGGATTAACTGAATATAATGAGGGAGAAGTCAAGCCTCAGAATCTGATTCTCCAAACCAACCAGTAGTCATGCATTGAGTATATGTTTGACACTAGAGAAGGTCTAACCTTTCTCTTCTCTCATCCTTGTGCCCAAGTTAGGAGTGACGCTGATGGATAATAAAAATAAATATTGAAATTGGCTCAATTTTTCTACTGAACTAATGTTCACATTTTTTTTTAATAAGCATAGAAATTGATCCTCCTGGTCTTAAAACTTGAAACTTACATTTGTCTTGTCTGAGTTCTTTTCTCAGAAAACCTGCCATCAGTTCTCTTAGATAGTATCAAGGAACTGAAATGTACCAGATCACCACATCCAGATAATGAGACACCAAACCCTACATCCATCAACTCCTGGGGAGAAGTTGAGATTAATCTCCTGTCTCCTGGCCAAGATCACCCAAATAAAGCCTTTCTTTCCTGGCAATACCCATTGTCTCAGTGATTGGCTTTCATTGCAGTGAGCAATGGGACTGAGATTGAACCTCTGGTGTTTGGTAACGATATTACAGAACAAAGATTTAGAAATTGATAAAAATCAAGATGTAGAAATCTAAAAGAGAAACTTGAGCCATCAAAATCATAGTCTGAAAATTGTCATTTAATGATGAACCTGGAAAGTTGTGAACTGAAATACTGTCGGTGTCTTTTTAACTAGGCTTGTTATTGCGGTAGTGTTATATTCAGGTCTTACATAAATTAATGCTTATTAGAGGTATCTATATTCAGTGCTTGCTAGTTGCCAGTAATAAATTATAAATTGTTTATGCATGAGCATGGCATGCTTGAATGTGAATAGTTAATATTGGATTATGGTGGGGGTGGGGAAGAAGGACTCCATTCAATAGTGAAATATATGACAAAAATTAGTGTAATTATCTGAGATTTCTTAAATCTAATCTTTATACAGTTTGTTGGTTTTACCTATAAAATTTATTTTCATCATACACTCATTTATTTTTACTAAGCTTTGAAAATGCTATGCTTGAAATTAATGGTAATTGTTATAACTTCAGAAAAATTGTCTCTTCTTATGGGTAAGAGTTTATTTTTTTATAGATTTGGCATCAGCTTATTTCAACTGAAAGAACTAAAAGGCCATAATGCAGCTAATTAACTCACTGATTTGTATCTTCTTAATGACTTATTTATTTTAAAGAAAACTAATTAAGTGTTTCAGAATACACTGAAAATTACTTAGAAAAGACATAATAGCTCCTATTGTGTCATGTTCAAGATAATAAAATGAAAGGCATCATGATGCAATGGTTGAGCCTCCAGATGGATATCCAGGAAGCTTGTATTTTGTTCTTTTCTGTCATTGGCTAGTTGTTTGGTCTTGGGCAAGCCAGATACTTTACCAGTACACATCTTTTACAGGTAAGTTTAGTTAAAGAAATGAGGCAACATGCCCATATGTTTGGAAAACTGCCAAGATCTTATGCTGAAGTTTTGCTTTTTCATTGGATACCATGACACTTTTGGTCAGAGATATCTTTAACTGAAATGAAGAGAGACCCACTCAACCTAGTTTATGTAAAATAGCCCTGAATGGTGATAGTAGTATCTCCTAAAACCCAAATGTAGAAAAAAAAACGGACAAACTTCAGAAAAGACTGAGTACCGTAGAGTTAAGGATCTGATGGACTTATCCCTGTTTATGAATTCAACTCCTGGTTGAAACTGCTTTAGCAAGAGAGGTTCAAAATCACTTTGCAAACATGTAGTTGTAGGGGCCTTGACTGACAGACTTGTCTACTAGTTTTTCTTAAATAATTTCTCATTCATGACATTTGGTTTTCATAACCTAACTACTGAATGGATATGTAAAGTAGTTTGTGGTTTATATTGCTTTGTATTTAATAGTTAAGTTTTGGTTTTGGTATTCTAAGAAAGATTTTGAATAATTCAAAAGAAATCTATGAGTTTATGTAAAACTCAGTGAACATTTATAGGATGAAGCAACAGTGCTCCAGAGTTTCAGGCAGGAAAATGTTGAACAGGCAGGTAAAAAGAGTAGTCTCCTATAACCTGTGATGGGAAAGATCATGGGAAATACAAGAGACTAGTAGAATGTTAGCATGGCTGGAAGAGAGACAGAGACCCTATTCTATTGGCACAACTGCTGGCACTCACCTGTGCAAGCATCCAGCTTGATTATCTACATCTGCAGTTTGATTTTTCAAGCTGCGCTTTGTTAGAAAAGAAATGATTTGGGGGCTACTTTTTGTTAAAAGGAAGCCTTGCTGAGGACTCCTTTACCCTCACTATCTGCCTAAATAATTTTTTTTCTAGCTTCTGTATCAGGATGACTGCAGTGGCTTTAAAATTGTTTCTCAAGTTTTTTGAACTCCATTCTTCAAAGAGTGGTGCCTAATTTCCCTCCTCTTGAACATTGGCTGGGTTAAGTGACTTGATTGTGCATGAATTTTGTGGTTAGGTTATCAAATGCATTGCAACTTCCATCTTGCACCCTTTTGGATCACTCAGTCTGGGAAAGGTAATCATCACGTTGTGAGAACACTCAAGAAGCAACCTGGAAGAAACTAAGGGCATCTACCAATAGGCTTCATCAGCTTCCCAGCTGTTTCACTGAGCCATCATGGAATCAGCTTCTCTATCCCAGTCAAGCCTTCCTAACTGAGATCTTGACATACACCTCATGAAAGATTCTGAGCTAGGATACCTACTTAAGCAGCTCCTGAATTCCTGACTCACAGAAACTTTGAAGCTAATAGGTATTTATTGTTGTTTTAAGCCAATTAAATATCAGGGTAATAAAACATTTTTTACTGAGAAGTTTTTGCATAATAATAAAACAGGTTGATGTAAAACTCAATAAATGTTTAATAAATCATAACATTTATTATTATGGCTACTATAGAAATCAGGTCTTTAAGAGGATGGTTCAAATGAGGAAATGTTTCAGTGTTGCTATCTGACAAAGGTAGTGATTCTTTAATACTTCAAACTTTTGTGTAGTTCCAGAGAGCAATAAAAGCACCCTTGATTTTTTTTTAAATTTATTTATTTAACTTTAGGTGCATACTATATCTGGCATTTCTCCCCATGTTTTCCTCCCCACCTTCCCTCCCTCCCCACTCTCCTCTGTCTCTCCCCTACCCCCACAACTGCCCCCAGTGCCTGATGCTCCTCTCCCCAAATCCACATGTTCTCATTGTTCAACACCCACCTATGAGTGAGAACATGTGGTGCTTGGCTTTCTGTTCTTGTGTCAGTTTGCTGAGAATGATGGTTTGCAGATTCATCCAAGTCCCTACAAAGGACACGAACTCATCATTTTTTATGGCTGCATAGTATTCCATGGTGTATATGTACCACGTTTTCTTTGTCCAGTCTATCATTGATGGGCATTTTGGTTGGTTCCAGGTCTTTGCTATTGTAAACAGCAAATGAACATACGTGTGCATGTGTCTTTATAATAGAATGATTTGTATATGCCCAGTAGTGGGATTGCTGGGTCAAATGGAATTTCTATTTCTAGATCCTTGAGAAACCACCACACTGTCTTCCACAGTGGTTGAACTAATTTACACTCCCACCAATTGTGTAAGAGTGTTCCTATTTCTCCACATCCTCTCGAGCATCTGTTGTCTCCAGATTTTTTAATGATCACCATTCTAACTGGGGTGAGATTGATTTAGAGTATCAGTGTCTCTTTAGGAAGGGAGCATGTAGAAATTTTGTCTGGATACTACTTCATATTTCCTCTCAGAGAAAAGTGTCTTCCTTGAAAGAATGAGGGGAAAGGTATAGCAAAGACTTTTCCTAAAGCTTATAGCTTCTGTTCTTATTCCTTGTAAGCATTTTTGATGAATCACTTTTTTAATCTGGATGTTCAATGTTGTTAATTAGGTATTTATAATAATTAAGCTTAAAATTGTAAACTTAAATATGTAGCTTTACACACATCTCATTATAGTAATAGCTGCATGCATAAGCCTTTCAGCAAAACTAGGTTTAATTACCCAAAACAACAACAAAAAAAACCAGGTTTTAAAAATCTAAGAGAAAACTGAACAACAAAAAAATTCAGTATTCTTCTAGAAGCAGAAAATGTGTAGATTAAGATAAGTCAAAGCAGAGTTTTTGTTCCCCTAAACTGTATTTCGTACACATAAAAGTTGTCCTTCTGTATCTGTAATAGGTTCTGCATCTGTGGATCAAAAAACCCAGACATTGAAAATATTCAGAAAAAAAGACGAGAGGCTGAGGCAGGAGAATTGCCTGAACCCAGGAAGCCGAGGTTGTGGTGAGCCGAGATCAAGCCGTTGCACTCCAGCCTGGGTAACAAGAGCGAAACTCCATCTCAAAAAAATAAAAAAATTAAAAATAAATAATAAATAAATAAATAATAACATAAACTCGATATCTTATATCTTGAATATAAATGTTACAGATAAATCTAAATATTATCTGTATTTAAATAAAATATTCAAAATATTTCAAGAGTAAGCACATTTCTATTTTCTTTAACTCACAGTGTTCATTAAAAGACTACTGAATGACTAAAGATGTGTACACTTCAAAAGACAACAGGAAGGAGATATCAGCAAATGAGAAATTTCTATACGTTTTGTGAGTTTTTGGGAGATGAAAAAGAAAGAAAGAAGATATAGAGACTTCTTTCCAGAACATTTTCCAAAATGATAAAAACGTGTATTGTCAAAGTTCAACGAGCCTATTTAAGTTCGAAGGAGATTGAGCTTAAATAGAAAACTAGACCTATTTTTGTAAAACTGCCAAACATTATGAAGAGAAGATTCTGAAAGATCTTTTGAATATTTTGAAAGAATAAGTAAATATTCATATATGGATGCTACAAGAGAAAAAGATAAAGCCTTTTAAAATTCTGGGTGAGCATTATTTTCATTCAGCATTTTCAATTCAGTTTAACATAAATGTTCTCCTGGGAAAATATTAAAGAAAATACTACAGCAACATGAGGAAATAGACAAGAAATATACCAAGAATCCTAGGAGCTTATCCAATTTACAAAAGTAGTAATGTAGTTTCCTCAAATGAAATCCATGAAGAAGTTCTTAGAAAACACACAATGTAGTTAGAAGAGCAAACTCTCTGATGGCCATTGTGGCTTGGAGTGCAGTGAAATATGGACTGTATCACAAAGACAAAATCATAGGATTGAGAGTGTGAGGAAGAAAATGAACGTTTGAAAAAGCACTTACAGGCAGTAGAAAACAATTACGGAATTAAGGGAAAACAAAAGGTGAACCAAAAATAATATAAGGGTATTATTCAGATGTATGGCTCTGCAGTCATGCACCACGTAATGACATTTTGGCCAATGTCAGCCTGCAGGCAGAATCGTGATCCCATAGGATTAAAATGAAGCTGAAAAATTCCTTTTGCCTAGTGATGTCATAGCCATGGTATCATCAAACAGCAGTAGATTACTCGTGCTTGTTGTGATGCTGGTATAAACAAACCTACAGCACTGCCAGTCACACTAACGTATAGCACATACAAGTATGTACAGTACATAATACTTGGGTAATGATAATAAACATTACTGGTTTGTATATTTGCTATACTATACTTTTCATATTTATTTTAGAGAGCCTGCCTTCTAGTTATATTTTTAACAGTTAGCTGTAAAACATCCCCAGGCAGGTATTCAGGAGGTATTCCAGAAGAAGACATTGTTATTGATGGAGATAACAGCTTCATGCATGTTATCGCTCTGAAGACTTTCCATGGGACAAGATGTGGAGGTGTAGGCAATCCAGATTCTGTGTAGGTACAGGCTAATGTGTGTGCTTGTATCTTAGTTTTTAAAAACAAAAAGAAATTAAGACATGAAGCAAAATTTAAACATAGTCAAAAGCTTTTAGAATAAAGATATAAAGAAAACATTTTATAAGCCGTAAAATGTGTTTTAAAGCTAATCATTGTTACAGGAGTCAAAAAGTTAAAAAAATAAAAGTTTATAAAGTAAAAGAGTTACAGTAAGCTAAGGAGGATTCATTGTTGAAGAAAAATATATATACATATTTTTTAATTTAGTGTAGCCTAAATGTACAGTGTTTAAAAATTTTATATTAGTGCACAGTAATATCCTAGGCCTTCACATTCACTCACCAGTCACTGACTGACTTACTCAATACTGCAAGCTCCATTCATAATATGTGCCTTATACAGGTGAACCATTTGTTTTTATCTTTAGCAAATGTAGTTTTACTGTATCATTTCTATGTTTAGATATATGAATACCATTGTGTTACAACTGCCTACATCATTCAATACTGTACATGCTGTACTGGTTTGCAGTCTAGCGGCCATAGGCTATACCACATCACCTCAGTTTGCAGTAGGCTATGCCATCTACGTTTGTGTAAGTACATGTTATGATGGTCACACAATAACTATCACCTAACGATATATTTTGCAAAACGTATTCCTGCTGTTGAGCAGCACGTGACTGTAGTCATAACAGTAAGAAAAGAGTGAGCATTTAAAAATGATTACTCAGCTGGGTGCAGTGGCTCACACGTGTAATCTCAGCACTTTGGGAGGCCAAGGTGGGCGGATCACTGAAGGCCAGGAGTTCAAGACCAGCATTGACAACATGGTGAAACCCCATCTCTACTAAAAATAAAAAAATGAGCCAGGTGTGGTGGTGCATGCCTCTAATCCCAGCTACTTGGGAGGCTGAGTCAAGAGAATCATTTGAACTCAGGAGGCAGAGGGTGCAATGAGCTGAGATTACGCAACTGCACACCAGCCTGGGTGACAGAGTGAGACTCTGTCTCAAAATAAGTAATAAAATAAAAATGATTGCCCTTAGGAAGCATAACTCTGTATAAGGGAGGTAGGACCAAAGAACTCTCTGAACAGCATTAAAGCACTATTCTCACCATTTGATTATTTTAATCCATATGCAAATTTTACTTTGTAAAGTAATTCATAGTAAAGCATTAGAGACACAGAAGAAATTACGACTTTTATAGAAGAAAATTTTATAAACAAGACAAATTAAAAAGCCTTCAATACACACTGGGGTCTGTTGGGGAAAAATAGGGAAGGGACAGTGGGGGGAGGGGAGTTGGGGAGAGATGGGGAGAAAAGCCAGATATAAGCGAAGGGGAGGAAGGCAGCAAATCACACTGCCATGTGTGTACCTATGCAACAATCTTACATGTTCTTCACATGTACCCCCAAACCTAAAATGCAATAAGAAAAAGCCTTCAATAGACGCTGATTTATTTAGTACCCACACTTACTCATTTTCATCTTCCAATGGGTTTTGAAAATATACAATGTGCCAAGCACTGTCTGAGGACTATGGATTTTGCAACAAATAAAACAGAGCAGAATCTTTGGTCTCATGGAGTTTACATTCTAGCCGAATGGAACATGATCAACCAGAAATATGAGAAATTAGTAAATCATATGCTATGTTGGAAGAAAGGAACAGTTAGAGAAGAATGGAGCAAAGGACAATCAGAAGTGAGAGGAAAGGAAACAAAAGAGGCTGGACTATGCTGGCCCATATTCTCCATCTAAACACCCCGAACAGAATATTCACCTCTCTATTCTGAGGCAGAATGGATTAGTGTTGGAGAGAGGCAAGAACAAATTCTGAATGCAACTTTCTCCCCTTGAAAGCAAAGGAAACTCATGGAATGGATACATAGTATTAATCCCCTAATTAGAATATTTTCTTAAAAAATATATATTACATATATGTATATTTATTTGTGGTCACATATACTTGTATAAATATATTAAATATGATCTAGGAAGAAACATATTAAATGATTTCAGTCATTATCTCTAAGACAGGAACTAAGACAGTGTTGGTAACCAAGGGAAACATCATTCATCCAAAATATTGGGATTTTTATATTAAAGTCATGATTATGTATCACCTAAGTAATTATAAGTGAAATTAAATCCCCATAAAGACTTTGAAATCCATTTTAATTAAATGGCTATAATGATTAGATTCAAAATTTTAAATGCAACTTTGTAGTTATTATATATCAATTACCACAGTAGCAGCTTCATACACAAGCTTTAGAATATAATGCCAGTTACATTCTAAATCCCTATAGTAGCATTTCAAGGAAATACTTTGTCAATATTACCTTTCCTTTGTCAAATCCATGAAATAGCAGTTGATTTCTTAAAGTAAATCACAAGCCATAAAATGTTTTTCATAGATATTGTTGCTCCTAGCTTCCTTCTGGAAAGAGATAGTATTTCTTTTCTCTCGAGTCCTTTTCATATCCAAAGACTTCCTTCCTAAGCCTGATTCTAGACAAGTCATCTTTACAGTTTGTTTTTTGAAACCATTTTTTCTAGTTGTGTTCATTCACCACACACACTCACACATACACACACACTCACACAGACACACACACAGCATGCACAACGTACTTCCCAATCTCTTATTTTTCATTTGAAAAAGAAACTCTTCTATGTTTTCTTTTTCAAATGAAAAATAAACACGGAATTTGCTCTGACTCTGGAGTAGAGTGTACTGTTGGATAACTAACTTAATACAAACATTCGGTTACAATAAAATCAAAATTTGGAAGGTAAAATCTTAGAATGACAGATGTTACCTTTTCTTTAGTCAGAAAAGGGTCAGGACATCCCTAGAGTGACAAGAGTAATTATTCAAAATCCAGAATGTGGCCTGATCTCTGTGAATCTGAGTGTGCATTTTGGACTAAGGGAATTTTATCAATTCTTTTGCTTAAATGTCCTCCACATTGCCTTTCTTGGCTTAGCTGAGCCAGAAATGATCCCTCCTCCACTGAATTCTTATAGGCCATAGTTCTCATTCACTGTTTTTCTTTGTGGATAGGTAATATTTACAAGTCATTATTCTCTTTACTAGACTGGAAACTTCAGGGCTAAGGGCAGTGATCATGGCATATGACACATTTTATGGTGAATTAGAAAAACAAATAATGACTATACTGCCTTGCTATAATTTCTAGAGTTCTTTTAGATCTTAGTTTGATAAAGGGTGGATTATTTGAAATTCAATTCAAGAACATTTTCTTCCTTATATTCTAAATATACCTTGGCCAGTTTAACTTACCAAAAGGTCACTGAGCATGATTTCAGGTACATTTTTCCAGTCATAATTTTAAAATGATTGCATTAAATCAATGTGGGAAAAGTTGATCAAGAATTGAGATCATCGTCTAAATCTTATTTGGTAAAAAATTCCTAGAACTTTAAAATAAGCACAAAGTGTGTTTAAAATGAAAACACTATACATATTTCATTTTAATCCATGTGTATTATACAGAAAAATACTGCAAAAATACTGGAAAAATTAGCTTAATTTCACCAATCAGAAATATTAACAGAAATTATCTAAGCAATTACCCAAATTTCTAAATTCTATTAGAATTATCTAAGCAATATTACTTAGATAATCTACTATACATTATTTAAGCAAT